AAGGGGGAGTGGGGTTGCCTTGCGATTTTTTTAATTCAGCCGTGTGTTAAAGGCTTACGGTGGCAGCCTCTTTGTACCGGCCTGCGGGTTGTACCCCGCCTAGGGAAGGGGCCGAGGTGTATGTTTATTAGAGAGGAGGGAGTTTGGTGAGCATTAATAGTAGAAAGTTTCATGTGATTCACGGTGCTGTCCACTTGCCGCAGAAACCTCTGAAAAGATTTAATTAGAAACTGGATTAAGGCCTGCGACCGTCTGCGAGCTCAGCTGGTAAATCCCTGGAGCAACACGGCGGGTGCTCAGGGCTTGTTTCAAGGCTGTAAGTACATTGCAAAGTTACTGAGGGCTGAAAATGCAAGAATGTTAGCGTTCAAAGGTATCTTTAAATTGTTTTGGGAGGATTAATAACATCCTGTAAAACTAAGAGCGCAAGTAGTACAGCGTGTGGTAATAAAGTATATGATAATGACCAAATTAAAATGACAGGCTAGATTTATTGCTAGATTGCAGTGACGTAAAAATGTTAAAATAGGCCGTTGAGAATAGGAATTGAGTTGTTTATTCTTTGAATAATAAAATTCATACACAGATGCTTTTTAAGCTTTTGTGAGTTGCCTGTTTTTTGTAAACATCCAGGTAGCTTAGTTATCTAGATGTTGTGTGACGTAGCAGAGGTCAACCATATGAGGAAAGATTGAGGATGTTATATTGAGATGTCTGTATAAATATGGAACTTAGGTGTTTTGTTGAATAAGTAGCTAATTATCCAGGTGTAGAGGTAATTGACACTCACAGTGATCATATAACCTGGTTTAGGCACATGGAATTACTTAAAACTATAAAGATTATGACTGCTGCTATGATATATCAGGTGAATAACCAAGCTTGATTTTATTTGTAACTCATGGTCCTGACAATGTAAAACTTTGTATATACTTAACATCACTCAAACGTTTAACTTAATTGTTTTTAGCAAGAAAGCTTTTAATTATAGTATCTAGAGGTAAAAGGCCACTGAACTAGCCCAACCTGGACACTAAAAGGAAATAAGTGATACTGTGTATGTATCTTAATTGGAGTGTTGATATAAACTGGCATGGTGGCTGGATCAGCTGTGCACATCCCAGGCATCGGGTTAGAGTGTTGCAGTCACAGCTGAGCAGGAGCTCCTCTGGTGAGAATAGTCACAGAAAATGTGGTGTATCGTGGGCATCCGTGCTTGGTACGCAGTGAGCCCAGACTTGCTCTCTGTTAGCTGCAATTTTCAATGTATGTGCCCACGTAGTAGCTGAGGCTTCCTAACTTCTTAAGATGACCCTGGTACTACTTGGAAAATTGCTTCCCTGTACACAGAATGCAGGTTGCTTCCTGTCTGTAATACTGTCTCCTGCAAATATGGGGAGTAGAATAATATAGTGTACATTTCTTAAAAATGCATTTTTCCTTTTTTTTTTTAATCATGTGGTCTTCATAACATCTGTCTGTTTAGGTTGTTCTCATTCCTCTGTTGGCATTTTTTTAATAATGTGATTATTTTTCAGTCTGTTTTTATTTCATGTGTTTTAATACTGCACTCTTTAATTTATTATAGTTTCCAATGCCAGAAGAAGAAAGTCAAACTATAATGGCAGTTGATGAACTTCAAGCCATAATACAAAGATGTGTAAGTCGTTTTCTTTCCATAAAAGTAACAAGTGTAAGCAGTGTGTATTTCTCTTCACATATTATAATTAAAACCAAAATGACCCCAAAACACAAGACAGTTGTTAGCAGAACTCCTCATTGGACAGCTAAGTTCAGCCTCTATGTTTCATTGATTTTTCTGTGGTGCTTATCCCAAGATGCTTGGTAACTTCTGCTTTTTGGAGAAAGAAGCGTTCTTGTACTCAACAGTACCTGTCTGAAGTAACAAAACCCTAGCAGGTTGTTGTAGAAAATACGTCTTCCAAACAACATGCTGTAGTCTAGACCTAGAAAGTGCTATTGAAATACTGCTTTGTCTTCTGTAGTAGCTCTTTGTAGCTTTTTTAATATGTGAAAGATGTTATATAAGAAAAGATGAGCTACAATGACACTATATTTAATTTTGAAATGAAAGCTTGGATTTTCTTTTTTTTTTTATTTGCCTTTTATAAGTATGGAGTTAAACGTGCATATTTTCTCTCTAGCAAATTCTGGAAGAAGCTGATTTCAAAGGAGAAGATTTTAATCTGTTTCAGGTAGCAGGTCAGAAATGTTTAGAAGATGGGTATGCAGCTCAGTTATTAGAAGTAATTCAAAATGAGAAAAATAAGGTGAGTTTAAGTTTGCACTATATATTGGTTGTGCACTAACACACCGTTAAATAGATAAAACTGCTTATTAAAAAGGGAAAGCTACTTTCACTGTGGAGCAAGGCTGTACATATGAATAGTTAGTAAGTTGCTCTGTGTTAAGTGCACGTTCTTGTGTAACTTCAGGTAGCTCACAGAAACCAAGTCATGATAATCTTAACAAAACCATTAATAACTGTTTTTCAGTGAGTTAAGCAAAGAGAAGAGAGGACAAAAGCATAATTAAGAGAAAGTGACAGTGTCCCTCTTTTGCAGGACAGGATTTCAGATGGTGTACTGGGTCTGGCTGGCATGAGTTGATTTTCTTCGTGGCAGCCTGTATGGTGCTGTATGTTAGATCTGTAACCAAAACAGTACTGATAACACACCAGTGTTTCAGCTATTGCTGGTCAGTGCTTGTACAGTGTCAAGGCCTTCTCCATTTCTCACTCTGCCCCCTCGGTAAGCTGGGAAGTTGGGAGGGGACACAGCTGGGACCAGCTGACCTGAACTGATGAAAGAGATATTCCATACCATATAACATCATGCTCAGCAATAAAAACACACGGGGATGGGGACCCACTCCAAAGTAGCTGTTGCTTGGAGAGTGGCTGGGCATTGGTCTGCTGGTGGGAGTTGGTTTGCGTCATTCCCCCCTCCCCTTTTGTCCTTCACTTATTAAATTGTCCTTATCTCAACCCATGAGTTATTCTCTGTTTCGCTCTTCTGATTCTCTCCCCCATCCCACTGGGGGAGGAGAGCGAGCAACCAGCTGGTGGGTGCTTAGTTGCTGTCTGGGGTCAACCCACCACAGGTGGATATAATAGTATTGGCCAAAACTGTAAGAGCCAACTCAGCTGATGCTAATGTAAGAGATGCTAATGTCTGTAGGCACTTTGGGGAGCTGGGAGAGTATACTAAATTGTACACATATAAATAGGAAGTTCAGAAAGAAAGTGAAGGATGGAGTGTTTTGGCAATGTTGCACGGGGGTCACAGTCTGGTTTTGAGTTTTGTGAGTTTGGAGTAACAACTGAAGATCTTGATTTCCCTCAGGTTAAACGTTCTTTCTTTCAGCAAAAGTCCTCTACTCAGTCTTGTTTTAAATGTATTGTCATATAAATTCTTGGAAATATATATTGACGTGTTAGAATTAATACAATGAAGAAAACTGTACAAAATATTCAGTTGTATTTATAGGTATGGGGAGAGAGTACAATGTGTGTCAAGTACAGAACTTTATGGTAATAGATGTTACATTTTCAGTGACATTATGGTGTTGGTTATAACCAGGACATTGATCTGTCTTTTTTGGCCTTCATATGTACAATCTTTCTGGGTTTAGAAGATGTCCAATTTTGGTTTATTCTCTGAAAATCTGGTTTTTAGGTTATCATCAAGAATATGGGTTGGAATCTCATCTCTCCTCTTGTTAGATGTATTTTCATGTATAAACTGGAAGATGAGAAGCGAGAACACTGCCTGAAGATACTAGATCAGTTGGCACAGGTACGTTTTTGAAATACATGGTTATAATACAATAATTGTAGGGAAGGGAGAGGTCCTAATTTTCCCTCTGATTTCCAAAGAAAACAAGGCATGAATACTTCTGGGTTCTTCTGTCCATTTCCCATAACTTTTAAACTCATGGGCTGGTTTCATCTGAAGTAGACACAAGCTTAGTGTTCTCGGAGATAATTAACCTCTTACAAATCTTGTGAAATTAGTAACTGGACAAAACAAAGAGACATAGCATTACCCAGAAGAAAAAGGCAGATAGAACTCAAAGTTTTTGATAGCCAGCTGCTGCAGTCAGAGCAGCCACAGCAATACTGCCTCTTGTCTACTGCAGATGACAATGAGGACCTGATGATTCTGATGGAGCGGGGGGGGGGGGGGTTTAATCTCTTCAAAACTAGTTCCCTTTCATTCATGTACTTAGAAAACAACTTGAAACCCTATAGCTTGAGTTAAATTCACACTGAAGTTTTTCTTTTCTCTTTACTCCTAAGGGTTACTTTGCTAAGGTACTGTGATGTTTTTATAGACCGTAGAAATCAAGTTTAGTGTCATTATTATGTTTTCAGCTTATATGAAAGTGTACGCACATATACACTCTGCAGAAGACGTTCATTGTAGGGAAGTACTTATTGTTTCATATTTGTTTTCTTAAAGATTATCTTGGATGTTCAGATCTGCTTTCTTGACATTCAGGAACTTGAAGTTTGCTTGTGATGAATTTTTTAGCTTATGACCATGGTGATTAAAAAATATGCATTGTTCCTCTCCTGTAGCTATGCAATCCAAAGGAACTTTTTTTGGGTTTACTTGAGCAGATTGAGCAGACGTCTGGAGAGCAAGTGTGCCAAACTGTCATGTTATTGCTTCAGCCTTTGCAGACAGGTAAGATGCACTTTCTCAGGTGATTTATGAATTAAATTTTCTCATTTATTTATCAAATTAGTTTAGCCTTTGCTGGAATAGTTTCAGAATATGTCTGTCCTGACAGGCTTTACAGTCTATTATATTCTGCAAAATAACACAAGGTATAATTCTCATGCTTATATCGGCCTGTTAGAAAAAGATTTTAGATGGGATTGATAGCATCAGTTGAAAAAGCAACATTCAGCTATTTTTCATCATTTACAAGAATGTTGTCCTGTGGCAGTTATATTTAGAGGTGTAAACCATTCATACTGTTGCTACAGAAATAGAGAATTACATGGATTTGTGAAATTCTTCATTATTTAACTTTTAAAACATACAATTCCATATTTTCATAGTATAAAACTTTTATTTCAGATTGAAATATTTGATTGGTGGGGGGAAGCATTCTTCTGGCTTATATATAAAAACTAAAAATGTTGGTTTTGGATACCCGCTAACCAGATAACAAGTAATAGTTTCTGTTTTGATATGTGAGATGAAATGAAGTGTCTTGTATGAAGTTTAAGTCTGATTGTAGCAGTCTCTGAGATATGTTATTGAATTATGTTAGAATTTAACAAGAGAAGCATTTTTGGTAATTAGAAGTATGTGGGGTTTTGGATAGACAATCCGCAGTCAGCCTGCACCGAGTGCAGTTTAAGTGGAGAGCCACTAGTGCCACTTTCTCAGCCTGGGACCCCCTCTGTTGGTTCTGCCATGGAGTATGTAACAGTTCTGAGCTGCTTCAGGTTGAGTCAGGTCTCAGCAGAAAGGTTGGGCCATTGCCGCTCGTTTTGCCAAGCACAGGAGTCAAGCAATCAAGCAAGAATAAATCAGTTTTCCAGATCAGATAAATGAATATTATTTCATTTAGACTAGTTCTAGACAGATTTTTTTTTTCAGTCCTCATCATGGTGCTACAGAGAAAGGAAGAATGTGTTGAAATACATGACTGCTTTAATATTTGTCATTCTCAAATATATGGTCATTTTAAATACAGTATATTAAACTAGCTGATGACATTTAGTCTTGCTGGATTTGCTCATGTGATTTCAGGTATCAGTCCCTCTCCTTCCCTGAAACAAAAGGCTTGCTTATGTAGTCACATTGTTTTTCTTCACGTTTTCCTCTACTAAGTAAGTAATAATGTCTCAAAATGTGCGCGTGCTCTTTTTTTTTTCTCCCCCCACCTCCAGTGCTTTTGAAACTTCAGAACAAGAAGGCCTACTCAGTGGGTTTATCTTTGGCGATGATTATGAATCAGCTTACTGCCTTACCTGTACCTTATACAAAACAACAAATACAAGAAGATAAACTTGGTCTCTGTCAATGTTGTAATGCAGTGGTGGACTTTGCTAAACCCTTTGTGAATGAAGTTGTTAAAAACATGGAAAAGTCGTCAGAATACAATGACATGGAGCTGAAAGAAGAATTATTAAAATTGTGAGCGTTTTATGTTAGTGTAATATATTCCTATATAATATATTTAATGGCCTCAAGTTGCGCCAGGGGACGTTTAGATTGGACGTGAGGAAAAATTTCTTTACTGAAAGAGTGGTTAAACATTGGCACAGGCTGCCCAGGGAAGTGGTTGAGTCACCATCCCTGGAGGTATTTAAAAGACGTGTAGATGAGGCACTTAGGGACATGGTTTAGTGGGCATGGTGGTGTTGGGTTGATGGTTGGACTCGATGATCTTGGAGGTCTCTTCCAACCTTAATGATTCTATGATTCTATAACTTAACAAAATGAACAGTAGGCATTTATTACATAGGCAGTAAATAAACAATCTTATTAGTGTTTTATAATACTGCCAACTTATATTAACTAATGTGGTATTTCAAAAAAGAAAAACCCTAAATATGCCTTACATACTTAAGAAGTGAGAGAAGAAAAATAATTTTTTTTTTTTTTTTAAGTACAGGGAAATGGTAAAGAAATACTAGTGTCTGTGCTGTGAAGCTGTTTTGGTATTCTTCTGCTTCTCCTCAAATTTACAACAGTGAGGATAATCATATTCTGGAGGTGGAGTCTAAGGAATGCTTCTACAGGGGATGTTCTTTTTTTTTAAATTCTCCTTGGAATATCAGGAATAGCAGCAGCTAATATGAGGATAGACTTTATTCTTGGTCGTCAGTGACACTATTATAGTCTGTATTTGTGACCTTATTGGTGATTTAGTTTCACCCATTTTATTTCAGCTGTATGAAAAGCCTGAAATACCCATTATTGACAGCTCAGCTTGAGCAACTTGAAGGCATTGAAGAACATCCCTTTCGGCGTTTTGCAACTGAAATTATAGTAAGTGTAGTCAAAATTAATTGCAGTGTTTGCAAAACCAGTGGTCTAGTTCAGAATTACCTATAACTTGTTGTAGCGCTCATTTTGCTTCCTTTATTGCTTAGTGGGATGACTTACTGGGCCTTGTAAGATCATGCAGGTAGATAAAGGTCTAGAACAGTTCCAGGTCCCATCTCTGGAAATTACAAATCTTGCAGAGACAGTTTTGCTCCTTATAAACCAGTTTGGACTGCTCTGTGAATCAGCAGCTGCTACTTTGTTGTAACTGCTTCTTTTTCTTGGTGATGTATGAATTTATTAGAATATCTAAAGGATTGTCTTTGCTGCAGTATTACATCAACGCAAAATCTACATGTTACCTTTAATCCAAGTGTTGCACAGAGAGAAATGTCTAGTGTGCCTAGTGCAGTGCCAGCTGACTATTAAAGAATATAAATCGATGTTTGGCGGCTGCTGCTGCTAGAGCTGGAAATTCAGTGGGAACATGTCCACTCCATGCTACCAATGCAGTTACTCTGGTTTTGAATGTTTTACATAGCAGCTGTGTCTTATTAGAGCAAGATTATTGTGGGTACAGATAATTTTATTTAAATTTGCAGCAAAACCAAACCTTATAAAGAGGTAGTCAGGTACAGTCCATGCATATGTTGGAACACACAATACGTGTATGTTTTCAGAAATAGGACTAGGTGTGATTAATAAAGTTACAGCAAGTAGAGCTGTGCTTTGTTCGTGTTTTGAATGTGGTAAAGAATATTTCCTCTCTTGCACATTTCCAAACGTAGTGGCTTGACCCCAGCTAGCAGCTAAGCCCTGACCCAGTCACTCACTTAGCCCCCCTCAGCGGAATGGGGAAGAGAATCTGAAGGGCCAAACCAAGAAAAACTCACGGGTTGAGAAAAAGACAATTTAATAAATGAAGGAAAAAAACCCAAGTGATGCAGTCGCAGTCACTCACCACCTCCTTACCAGCAGACCGATGCCCAGCCAGTCTCTGAACGACAGTTAATCTGAAAAATACTACCTCCCCACAACTTGTTGCTGAGCGTGATGTTATAGGGGATGGAATACCTTTTTGATCAGTTTGGGTCAGCTGTCCCAGCTGTGTCCCCTCCCAGCTTCTCACCCACCCTCTGCCCACTCGCTGAGCGGCAGAGTAAGAAACAGGCGGCCTTGACCCTGTGTAAGCACTGCTCAGTGATAGCTGAAACACTGGTGCGTTATCAACACTGTTTTCGTCGCAGATCTAAAACACAGCACCATACGGGCTGCCATGAAGAAAATCAACTCCATGCCAGCCAGACCCAGTACACCAAATTTAAAATATTTGTAAATACCAGTTGTCTCTAATTTTCAAATGTGTGTTTATACAATGATTTGTGTTGGGCTGATAAAATGAAGGAACCTTCTTGACAGCCAGGTGCTGGATTATTTTATAACAGTTTATTCAGAAGCAGGCTGGTAAATCTTACTATGAAATAAAAGGGTGGAAAATATTCCCAGTACTAAATGGAGTCTTCCCTCGGGATAGCCAATGGGCCACTAGTTGGGTAACACTGAATAGACCGTAACAGCTCATTTGTATCAAGATTGCAGCTAAGGTCTTCAACTCTTACAAAACAAGCTGACCTTTTTAGATGTATAGGAGAACTGAGCATATTAACTGGTTATTAATATTTACCATTAACAAAATACAATTCTAGTTTTGGTAACTGGCCATTGCAATTCTTTTCTGTAATTTGTTTTATAAACTATGGATACGCTTGTTTCTCATGTTAATGTCGACTGTATTAAAGGCTAGAGTTAAGTTTGAGCTTTGGATTTTGTTCTACCTTGTTATCCCCGATTAAGAGGAGGAGAATTCACAAGTCAAATACAGAAGGACAAAAGTCGAAGAATGCCTGGAGCTTTGTAAGAGAGAAATGGAAGTTACAGGGAAGGTAGAGTGGGGGTGAACCTGGCTGAGGGACAGAGGAAATCCAGCTATCGGAGGAAGATGGCTGAAATGGCTATAAACTGTGAACTAGGGAGTTAGAAGAAGGACAGCTTTTTATATGATATAGTGGAGGAATTAGTCCTAGAAGAGCAGAGACTGGGTCAGGGTGTCAATTTGGAGGAGGGAATGGCACACTAAGACTTGATGAGTTTCAAAAGGAAGACTTGGAGCCAGCTGGGATGAGGAAAGCACACAAAAATATACTACGTATAAGTGTGTGCAAATGTGCATGCACGTAGAGGAAGCCTGGAAGTTGTCATGTGATGCAACTCTTTCTTCTCCAATTTGTGTTTAAAAATCTAAGCATTTTTGCACACAAAATTCTATATTGAAATGTTAAAGTAAAATGTACTTTAAGTACAGTAAAATGTAAAGTAAATGTAAAGTGAAGCACACTAAGCAGTTAGCAAAACTTTTGGTTGTTTTTCAACCATAATTAGGTTTTCTATCATGATCACATCCATTTTTTTTTTCTGCAGCATGCCTCAGCATAGGATGGAACTGCTGTGTGGATCAATCAGGGTTGTGCAATGAAAGAGAATCTTGTCTCTGAGACCTTTACTTCATTTATTGCAGGACTTTTAGGGTGTGCAGTGAAGGAGGCAGGGATTACCAGAAGATGATCTCGTGGCTAAGATAGTTGAAGGGTGCTCTGAAAAACTGGCTTTTTATCCTGCCTCTCCTTTTGGGCATGGTCTGAAACCATGTTTTTTATGCTAATTATGAATTACCTTTTCTTCATATTCTCAAGAAATTGACTTCTGCTGTTTGTGGAATTGGGTAATGAGAGCTGCAGCTAAGGTCAGTAAAGTCATGCTTTGACTGTATGACATTTTGTGTAATCCTAATTTTCCAAAATGTGAGATCCCAGATGTTCAGTTTGGACAACCCCAGAACAGTGAGTTAACCTTGGTCTCGCTGTTTCTTCATGATATGTACAATAGGAGTTACATTACCTCCGAATCCACATGAATGCGGGGGGGGGGCAGGAGGAAAAAAACGCACTAGTATTTGTGAAGTACTCAGGTGTCATTGTGTTGCACATCACTGGAAAGAAAGGCCATACAGAGTGATTCGAACTTTAAAGCGGGGCTTGCCTTTAGCAGATAAACGTTGTGTTGCATATTGATTAGTGAGCAGAAAACAAAATAGTGAGTATTCTGTGATCTGAAAAACACAGGGGTCCTGTGGCGTAATGTGATCATGAGGCTATCATTATTCATAGCATTGTGGATAAGGGAGCCAAACTAGGCTTGGCTTTTGCTAGCTTTTGAGTGCTTGACTTTGCCATCTTAGTAACATTCTTCTGACAGTAGTTATTTTTCCTGCAGGGTCTTTTTTGTGTATGTGTATATAGCATAAATACAAAATATTTATATTAATTTATACATATGCTATGTAAGAGAATTTACTGTAAATACAGTTAAAGCTTTGAAACTTAACTGGTATACAGGTCTTTTAAAGGCGACTATAGGCAATCTATCTATCTTTTTTAGGGCATTTTGTGGGATATAAGAGAACTGATACCATTAGTGTTTTTACATCGTAAAGGCAAAAGTCCACACTGGGAGAATCAGGAGTTTGCGGACGTAGAGCAAAAGAATTCTGCAGATTCTTTGGCATGTCTGTCATATCTGATGTTTGTTCAGCATTTTGGTATTGATTACTTTCCAGTAGTATTTAGGTAAGAACTATTCTTCCTCACTTACAGTAAGTCTGTACTTTGAAGATTCTTTCTGAGCAGAAGAAAACTTTTTGTTTGTGAATAGTTATGAATGAAAACTGTATTTCACTAGAATTTTGTTTCATGTCAACCTTTATGCGTTTATATTTTATGTAGCTTATATTATATACATAAGAACATACTCCAGTCCTGCAGATTACTCTGTTACGGTTTAATTTTAGATGAACTGTTCTTTTAAAGAAACAGGATTAGTCACATGCTGAAAATGAACATGTATTAAACTTTCAATTGCATATTTATAGACAGTTTCTATGTAAGAGTTATTAACAGCAATTTGACTTACTATTTTGTCTATTTCAAAATTATTAATTTTATAAAGATTTTTTAATAAATTTTTCCAAAAAGACTAATCCTGTCAAATATACTAACTGTGTGCAAATGTATATGGCTTATGCAGTTTAATGTAAACCTAATCTTTCTCTTTTAGTCCATCATACCTTCTGCAATGCAATATGACGCATATTGAAGTGCTACTGAAAAGGTAGGGTTTATGGTATTTGGAGTTCTAGGTAGTGGGTGTCATCTTTTATAGTAATTCATAGAATCAAATTTCGAATATACCAGATAAGTTCAGGGGAGGTTTTTAAACCTGAGAGTTAAAATGGCAAGTTCCACAACAAGATGGCTTCTTTTACTAAGAAGTATAAAAAGTTGTCTAAAACATTTATTTATTGTTTTCAGCTTGTATTGTGATATCATTTTTAGAAACTTTATTCTGAAAATGCAAAATTAAGGTCTTTTAAACATATGCAGAATAATTGGAGTGTATATTTACTTGTACTTCTGTAACAATTAGTTTGCTACTAGAGAAGACTATCATGATAGCATTTATTTGAATGTATTCTGCTACGATATGCTGTCTGATTAAAGGTCAGGCTTTCTAAAGGAAACCAGACTTTTCCATATATTGTGATTATTTCACCTTCCATAAGCAGCAGTGTTGGCCAAATAGTTTCTAGTGCTGCTATAGAAGGGAAGTTTCCCATTAGGACTGCTTACCATTTCTTGGTAAAATTTAAACAAATCCTCCTGGTCTCTTCAGTTTAGGATCTGTTGTGTTTTTCTTAGGCTTGCAGAACTATGCAAATGGAATGATCTGGGAAAAGTTTCATTTTCTTTGTTAATCAATGTCTTGATACCTGTGAGATGCTACTTTTGAGCATTTATAAATATTGAGGGGGGAAAAAAGTCATTTTTGACCCTGAAGAGAGGAGTCTAATCTTCAACTTTTCATCAGCCAGTTTATTCTAAAAATCTTTGAGAGGAATAATGAAGATACTATATTTAGAAAATAGAAAGAAAATTGTTGAGGGACAAGTTCTTTTTGATCTCTGTTCTAGTATTTCTTGTGAAATAGCAACAGTGTCTTTTTAATTAACAACTTAAATTTGATAATGTTTCTTCTTCTTCTAGAACAGAAGAATCTATGTTATCTAAAGGACTTGTAAGTTTTCTTTTAATCGAATTTTCAATGTTGGAATGTTTTTTGTTTTTTTTTCCAGTTTAAGTAATGGTAAAACTTTAGTTTCCCTTTCTAAGCAAGGTACAAATGGTAGTTTAGATAATAGCTTCAGAAATATTTTGAGGCTTAATTAGGTATTCTTCAGTCTTACCAACACTTATATTTACTGAACTTCACACACATGCATAAATGTCTAAATTACCATTATTGCTTACATTTGTAGCTCCTAGGAACTTTGGATATGCGAATGAGCATTTATAGTGAAGGTGCTTTTAGCCATGAAATGTTAAGCATATAGATTAATGTCTTATATATGTGCAAAATGTTGGCAGCTTTTTTTTCCCCCCCCACCTGCAGGATCTGTTTGAGAGCTGTTTATTGAGAATGGAAGATAACAGCCTTCTCCATCAGTATTTAGAATTCAGAGATTTTATTGATGTACCTCAGGTAATACGAAGCAATGTACAGAAGTCTTTAAAGTTTGATTATAACTAATACCTAGCCGTCTTCTAGGTGTTGGAGAGAGGACATGCTACTGAACCTTTATACGCCTGTGTCGTTAAATTGAAACCTTTAGTGTCTTGCTATACAGAATTGATTGTCTTTTCTACCTGCTACAGCATAAAGTTTCAGTGACGGTTAAAATATACTTAGTGTATGTACAGGCCACTAGGGCACTGATCTTAGCTGAAAGATGATGCTTGCTCGTTTTTGCCTCTTCCTTGCAAATCTGCTGCTTGACTACGTTCTTGTTTGGACCCAACAGTATGAGACTAGTAGTCTTGTGTATCAGCCCTGGGATTTCAACCACTGAAGCTAACATGAATTTCTTTGAGAATCTTCTCACAGGCATGGTTTTGTGGGCTGTGGGGTTTTGGTTTTCGTTGGGTTTGGGGTTTTTTAATGTCTTGAGTAGATTTTAGTCAGTGTGATGTAATGTAATTAGAAATTATGTTTTCTTTGTCCAACTGCAGGATTTGGTGAAAGTTATGACCCTTTGTCCTATAGAGCATCTGGTATGTAATGGGACCTACAGAATCAGTTAAGTGCTGAATTTATTTAATTAGAATTAATCTGATAACATCTTTTTTTTTTTTTAGAGAAAGAAGAGTTTAAATATTTTGCAGTTGTTCATAGGCAAGTTTGACGCAGAGGGAAAATATACATTATTCAGGTATGCATCCAAATTACCGTAGATTGTGTAATATCAGCCTTGGTGCAGCCTAATCGCATAAATACAATGTTTTCTGACAGAGTTCCTATCTGGTAAACCACATTAATTTTACTATGTTAATTTTTGGATAAGTAATGATTTCCAGTTGCCTCACATAAAATCAGCTGTCTTATGTAAGCTAGTGTTTAAAGGTTACATAGTCATTCATCTGTGGAAAAACTCCCACTTAGATGACATTATGGCCTTATTCACTAAGTTTTGAGCTAACTATATAGGCAGCTTTGAGGAGATAATCTTTTGTTTGTTTGTTTGTTTGAAGGTGTTTACTGAAGACAAGCAACCATGCTGGTGTGGAAGGATACATTATTAAAAATATAAAAGATCAGATTCACTTATCATTAACGGTGAGGCTATTACCACTAAAACCCAAGTTGCCATCTCAAAATTTTATCAGTATTACGTTGAGAAGATGTGTAGAGCTTAAGCTTTGAGTGATGCATTAAAAAAAATCCACTTTGAAAAGAAACATAAGATTGGGAAATTATATCATTAAAATATTAATTTGGCTTTTTTCTGCATATGTATTTTTACATTATAATTTTACAAATGTATTTTTTGATTGCACTATCTTACTGTATTTTTCTAAGAAGTTATGACTACCTTTTCTGTGCTTGACAATACATGCTTCTTTCTTAAAGAGGAACTACTCAGTATTTTATCCTCACAGTTCCTCATTTCTTGAATATAATTCAAATGCTACAGTCCAGACAGAATTATTGATTTTTTCTTGGTTTTTATGATGACAATCAGCATTATATTACGAGTGATTCACAAACCTTAAATTCTTCAGAAAGGGTTGAGCTAGATCAAAGCCATTTAAATCTCATATTTTATAATCATTTATATCAGGAAGTTGGAAAAAGTAATTAAAAATAAATGGGTAACTCTTTTTTTCTCTCTCTTTTTTTTTAACTGCTTAGGGCCTTTTCCAAATGAAATTTAATTCTCAGGGATACTGCCTTTTGTCAAATAGTACAATATAGTAAATTTACGCATATTTTATGCTAGCATAATTATGTTAGGAAACAGTGAATTACTATTTATTAGATCATAGTCTGTCCTGTATATTGAATCAGCAGGGGTGAAGAAGATGATAAGATGAAAACTGTTTCAAAAGGGGCTTGCGCTAAAATTGAATAAGTAAAAGTATATTCTGAAATTTCCTTCCTTACAGCTTCAGAATTCTCTTAATACATTTCTTCCATGTAGAGTTCCCTGGCTGTCAAAAAGACAAATAATCTTAAAATTTCATCATATGAATTTGAATATTCTAGGTTTGTTGCAAAGAATTCTGCTATAGACATAATGACAACAATTTCCTATTGCTATCCATTTACTTCATCTTAGTTTTTGTGCCCAGCTAGTCTTAATCTTTCCAGGTCCCGCATCTGATCTGACTTAACAGACAGTTACCCTTCTCCTCTCCTTATCTAATCTCGGTTTTCCTTCCAATCCACTTCTGCCTTTGTGCCGGTTTCCTCTCTTGTCTAGCTTTTGCCCTGTGTATGATGCCTCTTCCCCCAACCTTCCCCACCTTCACCTGAGATAAGGACTTAGCCAGCACGGGACCTTTGCAACAACTCCATGCTCTCAGCTTCGTTGTACTGACATGAAAGAGCCTTTTGAAGAGGCTGCAAAACTTTCAGAGAGAAGCGTGCTCACTTGCTCTTTGGGAACGATGGGCACACCCTTAAGTTAGCACCAGTGCAAGGAGGCTCAACCATCCTCACTGAGGAGGGAATTTTCAGGGGTCTTAGCTGCAAGGCTTTAAAAAAAACTTCCGCTAAGCAAGTGAGAGAGGTGGTTTTTTGCTGTTTTGCCCCTCCTTCATAATTTGTTGTAATTTAGGGGAATTTTTGTGAAAACAGCGAGTGGTCTGTCTGTGATGGCAGAGGGCGTCAGAGTAATTATGTTCTGCCACTTCAAAACCTACTACTCTCCATCTTATGCTTAAATGATTCTCCTTTCTGTCCTCTCCTCCCTCCTGCTTTCAAAAGAAAGTAATTGAATGTCCTTCCTCCATCAAAGAACCATAGAGGTGAAGGTGTACTTCACTTGCAAGCATTGCTAGGAGTTGTGGGTTTAGAAATACACAAAGAAAACTTAAAACACCTGATCATCTTAAAAAAAAAAAAAAAAATCATGATACTACTATTATGAAATGAACAGAGTCTCTGGTAGATAGCTAATTGTTCCATACCTCAGTATAAAAGAAGAGAGTGCTTAGTACGATTTGCTAAATTTATGTAAACAAATATTAACTATATAGATGGTGGTATGGTGAAGAGGTGGAGAATCTATTCTGGTGAAACTGAAAAGAACAGCTTGGTATGAAGAGACAAAGTAGGGAGGACTATGAAAAGACTAGTTTGTATACTTCATTCACATGTAGTAATTAGAAAAGATTTCTTCCAGTGTTTGAAATTTTTTTTATTTTGCTTCTCTCTTTTCCCAAAATTGTTGTTAAATTATTTAAGATTTATTTAAGATATCTTTAAGATTTAAATTTTGCACTCAACTAAACTTTTTTTATCGCTTGTTTCAGAAGGCATGTGACAACATTTGGTTTACGGGACATCACCTGATCTCCCTTCTAGATTTAGTGCTTTTGCTTCCAGAAGGTGCTGAGACAGATCTTCTGCAAAACTCAGATAGGTGAGTTGTAATCACAGTTAGAGGCTTTTCTCCTTTTTAATCATTTAAAAAGACTTCAGACTACCTTACTACAATGGGAGGTATGCTGTCATGTAATTAATAAGGTGACAGCATCAATGTATTTTAAACTAGAAATGGAAACGATCACTTATTTCAACCATCCTTTCAACTAACTCCGTGTAGAAGAATGTCACAATGCTATTACATTGATTTGAACAATAAGAAAGGAAGTCCTCCTCCATTCCCTGACGATATAAGGCCTCAGATGCCAAATTACAGAACTAAGAGGTAAAGCATTATTTCTTCAGGACTGTATGGTTTGTCAGCTTTCTGTAGAAGCAATTGGCAGAACAAAAGAAATGTGGTATGTTGTCTTACGTGACACAGGGGGACAACAATTATCAGATACAACTTTTAGCACACAGCCTTTTTGAGGCTGTTTCACACATTGCTGCTGGGAATCCAGTATCTCTGGAGTGACAATACAGAGCCACCTGAACAGCAAATACTTGCATTAAGTAATACAAAAATAACAGCCAACATCTCTGAAAATCTCCTGTATAGGACAAGTCTCTTCCTGTATGATGAGTAAAGTAAAGGTTGGGCTTGTAAGTCCATAAGGTGATAGTGTCCAGATGGACACATAACTACTTAAAAACCCAGATGTGTGATCTGTAACTGTACTGGATCTGTAACTTTGGATCACCAGTGATGCATATTACAAATCCCGTAGTAAGGTTCTGTCTCTTCAGAGAACTCTTTCCATCACAATCCGCAGCCTTCCCCGAAAGACGGTTTTAATCTTACTTGCAAAGTGTCAACTGTTGTGACGTGGACGTTACTGCGCGCTGGTGCTCTAGACTAAGCTATATCGCTCAACAGAGGAGTGGCTGCGTTTTGTACAAATGGATATTTTTAGGATGTCTGGCTAATGGACAATTTAAATTATTATCCCTGTAATACAAATCTGTGTTCTAAATAATAGCGTATTTTTAATTCACAGGATTATGGCATCACTAAATCTACTAAGATACCTGGTCATTAAGGATTGTGAAAGTGATAATCAAGTAAGTACTAACTGATTTGAAAATGATTGATTAGCTAAGGGCTGAGAGCTCGACTCATGTGAACGCTGTTATCCTTGATTCAAAAACATGTTTTTTGCTTTTTTCTTTGCAATGCTCAGTAATCCATAAGTGATGTTTTTATTAACTACATTAGGAGATATGTGATGTGTGTGTGTTATTCTGATGAAATTTGATTGCATTCATACTTAACTGTTACTGTAAACAAGAGAATGCTTTTACTCTGCCTGATGAACTGTATGTCCGTAACTTTAGAGTCTGTCACCATAAAATAACATCTCTATCAAGTATTTCCATGAGAAAAAATACTTGTTACTCTTGCTTATTTATTCAGTGGTATCCCTCAAGCCTCCAAGTGGATTTCTTTATAATAATAATAATAATGATAATACAAACCTTTGCAGTTCAGGAGATCCATTTTATTCATCTTTAGGCAAAATACTTTTTGTGTGGTATGCTGAAAGTTAATAGTATTAAGATTTCTCAGAAAGTATTTAATAATCATATTTAAATAGTTTTTAGCTGGGCAAAACAGTATTCTATATTGACCGCAACTGTGCAGCTGCATAATAGGTACATGTTAAAAGCATCTCTGGGTGTTAGCATCAAAAAAATTCTTGTCTGTAAGATCCACCTGCTGAAGTAACAAAAGGAATGGCCAGACCTATCTGATTTTCTGCTACATCGCTTTACTGGATACAGCCTAGAACGTTTTATGCACAAAGGTGACTTGCCAGCCTCAACTGCCCACCACTGTAGTTTACCTACGTTTTTATTATCGGTATACCTCTTTACCTTCATTTCTCCTGTGTGTGGATGTTTGAATGTAGATATTTCAGAAATACTCTGCATACTTAAACTTTGCAGTATATTTAAAAAATTGAAACTGCCCTTATGTATTTTACCCATATTATGCTACCTCAGTTTAAAGCAGGATTTTATAGCTTTAGCTGTAATCCCCACCTTTTTCTTCTGTTTTGTTTAGCTCTTTTCTGTCTGAAGCAGTCAGCAACACTTGTTACTGGTAGATCAGGGCAAACTGTGTTTGTTATTCAATTGCTGTGTGGCTTTTCAGTGTAGTATATTATGATGGGCCTGCTGGCTTTGTGTACAGTCAGTCCTGTCCACCTGCAGTTGACAGAAAGGAAATGTGATCCTGGATACTCAAGGGGAAACTTGTCTGAATTTCACAATTGGGTCGATATATGGATTCCGTATTCTAGCAGCTGATTTATAAGTGCTCTGACTCGCATTGTGTCACGACAGCATTGAAGAGCCAATGGAATGATTTATGTTTAGTTTTCCAGTTACATTCCACTACCAAACGGCTACTTATTCTGATAGTAAATGCAAGTTCTGTTGACTCTTTCAAATCATTGTGTTCCACCATTCCTCTAATTCATGCAATTCAGTAGCTTTTTATCCACTCTATCATGTAGCAAACAAGTATCACCTGCTCTAGTTGAAGATGTCCCTGCTCATTGCAGGGGGGTTGGACTAGATGACCTTTAAAGGTCTCTTCCAACCCAAACTATTCCATGATCTCCTTAGTACTAAATGTTTTGATTTTTGCATTAAAATATTTCTTTAAATCAGTGACGGTTTAAACAAAAATTGCTTTTTGGTTTTAAAGTACAGTAAAGCCTTTCCTGACTTCAATAAGCAGTATCAATGGTCAGATGAATATTCTACCCAGCAGATAAGTATCCTAAGGTGTTTTGTTGTTCTCCCCCAGTTCCTTGACTTTCTTTATGATTTGGAGTAATAGACTTCAGTATATCACTTTCTGTTTTCTAAAATACAGAAAAAAAAAATCTGATCTACTTTTAGAGCACTTTGAGATCTATGAATACAAGTTTTATAAGTGCGTAATGATATTATTAGTCTAAGTAGAAGAATAATAATATAGCTTGCTCTGATTACCAAAACTGCAATGAAAGTGAATAGTAAAAATAGCTTTCAGTTGGTGCATTTCTAATTCACTATTTATGTAATTAGTTAGTATTGATAAACTATACCCGTTTCTCAGATTTACAGAGTGATTACTGTTTAAGTGCTCATTATGGTCCACTCAGTTTCATGTAAATGCTTAGCTTTGTAAGAAAAAAGAGTATTCCTTTCTTATTATTACTAAAAATTCATACATAGTAGCACACAATTGCTGTAACAGTGCTGTCTAGTACCTGGCATAAAGAATGTCCCTACGGTTTGTGGAGAAAATAGCATCACCTCTTCTGAAGTTTTCCCTTAAACTTGAGCCCTGCCAGTTCTTCTTGACTTCCTCCCTCTCTCCTTTCATATCGTGCAAGTGGGGCAGGAAGAAAAATGCTTCCTTTCGTGTCAGTTCAGATGTTTTGATTGCTGTGTAACAAGCACTTTAATTATCAAGTTTAAAAATCAGTGTTCTTCTGGAAAGTTATTTCTTCATTTTTAGCCCCATTCTGATGGAAGTAATTACCGGTTTTCTTATTTGACCGGTTAACTTTGTGTCATTTAGCATTAAAATTTGGTGAATTTTCCACTGTAATCAACAATACTATTTAACATTGAGAACTCGTATTTTTATCGTCCTTACTCCACCCTTTGAGGATACTGCCTGAAGAAAGGAGTCATATAAATGGCTCCTATATCCAAAGACACAAAGACTGCTTTATATTTGTTTCCTTCTACAGCAGTTTTGTAACTAGGAGCTTCTAAGGTGCCAAGGCAGAGAAGTTTTCCTCTCGTGCCGTGTAACCTTGAACAGCCTTGCTTTTGAGCATCTTTTCCTTGTATCTCTTGCTTCCTGAGTGCCGTTATTGTAAACTCCTCCTTTCACCCGTGCCAAACTGGGGAGAAGTTCACGTGTCGCTTGGCTAGTGTGCCTAAGGATGGGGTAGTAGCATATCCAGTAACATTCCTACAATGCTTTTAAAACTGAATGCGATGTAGACAAGACCCTTATATATTTGGGGAGCATGACATTTATCAGAGCTTTCATTTGGCATCGCGATACCGTGTTAATTTGGGAACTTAAATATTTGTGCCATTTTGCTGCTGAATTATCTTAGAGGAATCTACAACTGCTGTTTACTCCCTGTAGAGATTCTAGCCTGAGAAAGTGGCTAGTACAACATACCAAGGTCCTTTCAGCTTTGCTTACAAGAACAAGTTGAAAACCTGTGTTTCCATTGCTGTAGTTATCAGCCTACATACTAAGTTTGCCCACCCCTTTTTTTTTTTGACTGCTTCATCCTCCGATTTTCAACAAATAATGTTGAAAATGTGAGAGAGAGGAGCTTAAACGTCCATCACGATGCTATTCATGCTTAAATGGATGAGTCTAAATTCTTTTTTTCTTTTTCCTCCCAGCACAGAAGTGTATGTTATAAAGGCTAGTCCAAAAACTCGTGCTCAAAAACTTAGCGTTGCGATGCTCCACGAAAAGTAATTTGTAACCTTCTCTGCTCTGTTTGAATAGACTGGTGTATGGACCACGCTTGCCAAGATTGAGCAAAATTTCTTAAAACCACTGCACGTAGGACTCAATATGTCAAAAGCACACTATGAAGCAGAAATAAAGAACAAGAAAGAAAACAGAAGAGGTTAGTTGTTTTCTTTTTTTCTTAGCTTTGTTCATATTTAGAAACTTTGGAAATCCTTTGGAAACAAAGAATTGGTGAGTGCTGTATAGATCATGTTTTATTTAACCGTTGACACTATTCCAAATTTCAAATAATAATTCAGTAGTTGCTATATTTGATATTAATAATTTTCATAATTGGTCAGAAAAATCTGAACTCGTTTCTCTCTCGTCACATTTGTAAACCTTATGGGAACCTGGTAGAAATGTCACATGAAGATCTTCAAAGCTTGTTCTGCATTTATGCTTTTGATTTTAAGGTTAGACAGGAGCATCTAAGTCTCCCTGTGAATATATAGCCCTTAGGTTGCACACTAGGTGTGGGGAGGTTAACAAGAGGAGAAATAATTTGCACGGCAAGTAGGTGCTCTCTTAAAGCCTGAAGGATTACATTCTGGGTTTTTATTTATTTGTTTTAATCTGACACACAGAATCAGATTCTGCTGTGGGTTAAGCAGACACACTCCACAGGGCACAGGCGCTATAGCTGCTTTAGGCCGTGTCTGTGTATGTCAGATCCTCTGTTCCTTTGTGGTCTCCAGTGTAATTAAGACGGCCCAAGGAACTCGCTTCTGCTACCAAACATGTCAGTATGGCTTTTTGCCCCTAGTCTTGTCCTCTCCTGTTGTAAAACTATATGAGGCAGAGAAGGGGAATTTTTCTGAAGGCGACCTGTGGATATCTTTCTAAAGGGAATCCTTTTAAAATGAATCGGGAAGAAGCTTTTTCTTTAAGTCCCTCTTACATTTCTCTAGGCTTTGAAAAAGCATAAAGAGATTTGAGTTCAGGAGAGAACATCTAACTCAAAATAGTGAATGGTTTAGCCTTTCTCCCCAGTGTATAATCTTTGTAAGCACTATGTTGAATTTCAGATATGTGGTCTGAATGCAAGAGTTTTTCCCCTTAGTTTACAGACTTGTCCTCGTAGTTTTGCCTGCTGCAAGTAAGCTGTCTGAAACAGAGAAGCCTGCAGCCTTTTCTTAAAAAAAAAAAAAAAAAAAAAAAAAAAAAAAAAGTTTTTCATATCTGGCTTCATTAGGTCAAGCTAAAGAACCTTCTACTATCTGTCTGGATGTGGAAATATTAAAAATGTATCAAAAAATGACCAGATTTAATTTTTTTTTTCCTTTTAAGGAGCATTTTTGCTATATAAAATTGAGTTGCAGATATTGCCTGTTCAGTAATGTAGTCATATGCAACACAAAGTGCAGAGAGAGCATCCAGCTCCAGCTGCCTTCCTCTTAAGGTTCAGCACCTCCTGTCCTGCGTTTGGTCAGTCCCTAGGTCTGTGGGGGTTTTTAACAATGCCTGTCCTAGAAATGCTAATGTATTAAATACTCTTTTCATTCTAAAAGCTACGTGAAGCAGCAGCCTGATCTCTGGTTGGTTATTTTCTTCTACAGAGGCACACAGTTCTAACACAGTTTGTTCTCTAACTGTTAGTGGGGAAAAGATGCCTGCCATGACTACTGACATGCAGCTTCAGGTGAGTTTGCGTTTCCTTCAGAGTTATTCAGAAGTATTGACGTTTTCTCTTCAATCTGGAGACAAACGTACATGTACAGTGGGTAAAAAAGAAAAAAAAAATTCTTTTAATAAAAATAACATTAATCTCTTTTTGTCATTTCAGGTTTTACACTCGGCCCTCTTCACATTTGATTTAATAGAAAGCGTTCTAGCTCGAGTAGAAGAACTCATTGAAGTGAAAATAAAAGCTGTAATGGATGAAAATAGTTAGGTCAGCTGAAGTATTTGAGTTAACATACTTCTTATAAGATCATTTTGACCGTGAGGCTTTAGTTGAAAAGGAGGCTGCCCACCTTTAAAGAAGAGCAATTCAGAGTGGCCTCTAGAAGAATTGCAAGTGCTGTTCTTTTTTATTTTCTTTTGCCATTGTATGCGATTCAGAGAGATGGCCTGTTTACCGAAGTACTGCTCTTCAGAATTTGATGTTTTTTCTTAAGTTTAGAAACTACAAACAAGGGGGTTTTTTGTTCTTATGCTGTGGCAAGAAGGTATGGTTGTGTATTTATTTTTGTTGATTTTCAGAATTTGTTAGATATAGTTGCTGACTGGTGTTGTGAATTACAAAGAATTTTTTTTTTTTATAAAGTGACTGGAGAACCATTGATTAAAAAGCACCGTTTAAGCGCAAGGTATTTTTATTAGTGCTTTTTAATGTTGAAAAACAAGCTTCTACATTTACAAACAGGTCTGTAAGGCATAGATAGATAACAGTAGAAACACTATGGCAAAGGAAACCAGGTTTAAAGAGAAACACATCAACTTTGAGCCAAGTAAGATGTTAAAAATTAGTAACACAACACATAACGCTTGTGTTTAAAAAACACACTGTGTAAGATTTCATACATATACCTGTTTATGCATGGGAAACCTGTATTTTGGAATTGTTTTGATCATCCTTCTCTCTAATGATAAAGTTTTCCTTAAGATATATTAAATATTTTGGGAAATTAGTATAAACAGATGAGCTCGTAAGTTCAGAATCAAGTTGAAAATAAGGATGGCTTTTCTATAGTGCAGTTAAACCACTTTTTTTTTTCTTAGAATGCACATTTGGTACAATGTATGCTGTTTTTCACTGTGTAGTTATTTAATATAAATTTTCATTCCAAATGCATAAGTTGTACATACAGTCTTTTGAAATGTAACTATTTTTAAGAACATTCTATATTTTAAGATGTAGCCGCTCTATTTATGAATAAAAAAACCCAAATACTAAATTAATTACAATGCAGCTGGTACTCCTGAAGCATCTTCCAAACTGGACTGTTTTCTATTATTTGGGCTTTTGTCATTGCCATTTTGTAACGAATATCATCTGCTCGTGGCTTGGAAGTTATCTTGGAGGAAAGAAAAATATTATGAGTAGGACACAGTAACTCTTAGGTAGTAGAACATTCAACATCTTATTTTTCAAATAGTACAAATGCAAAAGTATTCAGCAGTGAAATTTGAGTCATGTTTTCTGAAGTAGACATTCAGGAACGACGGACACAGAGGTGATTTGACATATCCCTTTAAGGTGCAAGACCAGTCCTAAAATGACCAGTGCTGTCAGCATTGCAGCTGACTATCTGGA